TATAAACTTGACTATGGATGGCATGGTATTTATCGCAAAGTTCTTGACAAGTAATTCCTTCTTCAAGAGCTTTTGTTTCGGTTGCTGTACCATATTCATCTGTACCACATATAAAAAGTGTATTATATCTTCGTGCACGAGAATATCTACAGATAAAATTTTCAGTTTCTAGTTCAAAGTATTTTCTTTTATGAAAAAAAAAAAGTATTTTTTTGAAATAATTTTACCTGGCGAACACGTCCGCGCTCAACACACTACCAATAATATTTCCTAAATGAGGAATATTATTAACGTAAGGTAATGCACTAGTGACCAAAACATTTCTCTCTCCTTTAATAGGTTCTCTATTTATAAAATGTAAGTGTTCTCATTATTAAACTGACCAAAATAATGTTAGTTCCTTGTTTTAATAAAAACCTATTTTTATCTTTATCAAATTTAAGGATCACGTCCGGATTAATATTTCGTTCGGACTCATTTGTTGACATTTTGTTCTTTCAAATTTTTTTTTTTATCGATATTTGAATTTCATCAAAAAAAAAAGAAATCGTTTGATAAATTAGTCTTGAATCGTGTTACCATGATTAGCTATTTTTATAGATTTATTATTAATCATTATTTAAATCAGTTATTTTAGTTAAAGAATATTACATATTCAAGAGAAAAGGTTATATTAAGGTTTCAGAAAATTTTGTTATACATTAAAATAGATCCTTAACTGGTCCTTACACGATTAAAGAGATTACTAACTCGAGAGCTTATTTATAATAGTAACCCTATCAAAAAATTGTCATAAATATTTATAAAAAGCGAACATGATATGGGGGATCCAGAATCTTCCTAAGATTTAAAATTAGGACCGTCATCGTTATAGATAACTGAAAGGCGCTAGCTAAACCATATGCGTCACCCCCTTCACCCTCCATGGATTTTATTGTCAAGGGATCCTATTTTTATCATAACCCTACCAGAAAATACAACCTTTACCCATTATCAGGTAGGTCTGGTGACGAAACAACCTTATAAGACTTATACCTTGGGAGTTACCATTCTTATATAAATTGTAAAGATAATGACTATCATATCTATATTATTAAAATCACCTGTAAATTAAATCTAGCCTCTAATCCTAATGATAGATTGGCCAAAACTGTGGCATGCAATACAGTTATTTTTACTGGTAATCTTATTCTAGGTTAACTTAATCTACTAATAACTGATTAATCACTTTCTTATAAGATAAGGATTCTATCATTTAAAGATATAAGATAGTATCATTATAGACCTATTAGCGAAAGCTAAGTTTCTGTTAATTTCTGATTTCATTTACATTTAATTGTTCTTTAAACACAATATTTAGATATAATTAATGTTAATTAATAGATTAATTGATCAATTATTAACGTATATTAATCTATACATCTACATGTTTAGTTATAATAAAATTCTTATAAAAATTATAAAGTTTTATGCCTCAGTTAAGATCTGAACTTATGATTATTATAGTATAACTCATAAAAAAAGTTCAGTTATTACTAACTAAATTAGAAATGTCAACCTCTTTAAGTATTTTCTTTTAGTACTCACTAGATTTTTTTTAATAAATATACTGTAATTCACATATAATAATTTTTGATCATATGATAAATTTCTACTAAATGTTATTATAACTCAAAAATCATAGTTATTATTTTTAGTTAGTTTTATAGTTTTATATATTTATAAAATAGGAATTAACATATAAATTGATGAATAGAAAAAAAATTAACTTTAATCATATATATTTAGAAAAGCTTAACTCTATATTTCTTTAAATATATTCTTTTTTGAATATATTCTTATTCTAACTATGGAATATATTTAAGAAAGTTTATAGTACTAATTTTAAATCTTTTTTATAAAAGATAAGTATTGTAAAAAAAATAAATTAGTTATTTTATAATATTAACTTATAGGTATAAGTTAAAAATTATGAAAATTAGTTTAAGTGATTTTTTATAGTCTCTAATACTTTTGAATCATTTTTGAATTTGTTTTAGAGGCTAATAAATCAAGATATATTTTTACATTATTTCAGATTTCTATATATAAAAAATAAATATTTATTTAATGTAAGTTTTGATAAAAGAGTATTTTAATTGAAAATTTTTTGATAAATAAAAAATATTTCATTAAAAAATTAATTATTATAAATATTATTTTAATACAAAAATTTTTTATAGATAAAGTATATTAAATATTTTGCAAAATCAAGTATTTAACATGATATAAATAATTATGCTTATATAATTATATTATGATTGATTATTTAGTAATTTTATAATATATTATTTAATAGTTATTTTTATAAATTATATTTAATTATAGATCATTTTATATAACTATACAAAATTCAATATATCTTTCATATATAATTATTTATATCACTTAATTTATTTTAAAAAAGATTATACATATAAAAATAAATGTATTATATGTTTAAGATAAAGACTTTATAATTTTTTCTAAATTCTTTAAAATTAGCATTATTGTTAAAAATAAT